CGGGGAAAAGCTGTATCCAGCCTATTTGGTCCGTTGACGCCTTCCCGAAACGCCTGCGAGCCTACTCAAATGCTAATGGTGGCCGATTCGAATTTGATAGTTGATTTATAACTGTTAATGTACAATAAATGTTATCCAGTTAAAAATTTGTCTTTTTTTTACTCTTGTCAACCTTAAAATCAGAACTACTTCTTGTTGTGACAATTATGGCGCACCCTGTACATTTAAGACAATAGACTGATGTACCTAAATTCAGCAAAGTGGTTGAAAATTTGGCAGGGACACGAAATTTTCGTGATTGAATTTGAATCAGGAGTAGTTTGTAATAATTTGTGGGGTTTTCCGGATTCAGTATCTTTCCTCCATAAATGCTCAAAAAGATAAAAGTTAAGCGTTAACACGTTCGAAAATCATTTAAAAAAGTTCTTTTTAGTCGTTTCTTCGCCGTTTCTCTCGATGGTGTCTATTATCGGCACACAAAAAAATGGCCTTTTGGTCAAGTGTTAATTCCAATTGTTTTCTGTGTTGTTCTTCGTGTCTCTACGATTTTCTTCCCAATTGACAGCCGTTTTTTCACCGCCTACGTGTTTCCACAAACTCTCTTTATCATGTGTTCCATGGATTTGGTGACAAATCGAAAAATGAAAGCGGTGACTATTGAAATAAAAAACGTGGAAAGTATTAAAAAAGTCTTTAGTTACGCAAAGATGGTAAAGTTTCTCGAGCGGAATCTCTTCTAATGATACAGGTAAGCTTGGCTTTTGAAGCCACTGCAAAGTCAAGTATAAATTAGGAACTGAGCAGTGCTGATGAGCGGTGAAATCAATAGAAAAAACCCAATTGCAAAATCCAAATAATCCTATCAAACCAACCAGTCGAAAAAAATCCAATTAGCAAACTTTGGAATTTTGTAGAAGCGAAAATTGAGCTAAGAGAACCAAAGGAAAACACTCCTAAATTAATTTTTTTTGAATATCTGAAGATTTTACGAATCGAATTTTACGTTTACAAAAAAAAAGTTAAGATAGACGGCTTAGTCGATAGGATTTGAAGAGTCCAAAAATAATTCATCGTCTATTTTCTAGTTTCTTTAGTTGTTCTTTTTCGTGAACTTGTATTTCCTATCGAGAAATCTCAAGTGTTTTTCAGATGCTCTGCACCACGTTTTCGACTCTTTTCAGTACGGTGTTTTTTCAATTCTTCTTCTCCATTCTCATGCTCATTTTCGAACCAAACTTTATTTTTCTTTACCGAAATCTGAGATCAGTCCTCTCGTATTTGTTATTTTTCTTTTTTCAGAGGTAATATAACATTTTTCATGCTTTCTCATGCTCATTTTGCAAAATTTTGCAAAAATGACCATGAGAAAGCATGAAATTGTGACAAATTTTAGCATAATGACGATCTTATGTCTCCGAAAACGAAAGAAAATCGATATGATGATGGTGGAAAAAACAAATGAATTTAAAATATCAGCAAAATCAAGTTCTCGGTCAAGTTAATCGAAGTCAAAGCTCTGTCTTATGGATATTATTAACATGTCGATTTGATGATTCTTTGTGATTTTTTTAAAATTAAATGTTTTCTGAAACTTTAAAACCTTTCAAAATGTCAAAAATAAATTTTTATTTTCTTCAAGCGTTCTTTGACTCCAAAGTCGAACAGCCGTCATTAAGTGACATTCAAAATTGCCTCAAAAATCAGTAATAAACAAATGAAAAAGGATTTCTGAATGAATAAAGGATGAAAAGGAAGAGAAAAACGGAAAAGAAAAAGGAAAAAAGTTCTGTTTATTCATTGAGACAGAAGTTTTCCATCAGTAACAATGAACCAATTAAGCTTCTTTTCGTGATTGTCTTGTTGATTCGCGGTGTAGCAGCTAGATGTGATAGGCAGCTGACTTCCTATCCTCCCTATGCTAGAGCTCTCGATGGCTGGGCTGAGATCCAAATGTTTTTCGGTGCCAGAGAATAATTTTCGGTGCCAGAGAAACTCCAACAATCTTTGATTGTGTAAGTTTGGGAAAAATCTTTAAATGCGTTGTTTAGCTAATGTTTAAAAGTGTTCATTTGTTTCGCTATGAGTTTATTTTTAGGTTTGTTTCTAGTTCCAGTGTATTTTCTTTGCGGATAGCATCGATCACTAGCTCCATACAACAATTTGCGCATAAACATAGGCCTACCGCCAGTCTTTGTGCATTCATGGTGACAAACCTAAAAATAATCTCATAGAGAAACAAATGGACACTTTTAAACATTAGCTAAACAACGCAATTAAAGATTTTACTCTAACTTACACAATCAAGGACTGCTGGAGTTTCTCTGGCGCCGAAAATTATTTTCTCAACGTTTGGATTGTCAGCCCAGTCATCGAAAGCTTTAGCATAGGGATCAGTCAGCTGCCTATCACATCCTGCCACACCGCCAATCAACAGCACAATCACAAAAAAAGTTATTAGGTTGTCCGGAATGAAAATACCCTTTTAATGAAAAATAAGTTTATCTCGACAAAAAGAAAACGATGCGCTTGAATCCAAAAGTTATTCTCCGTTGTTGGCAATAGTCTTTCTCCATTTTTCTTTCAAATCTCGGATCCTTTTGCTGAAGAAATACTGAGGCTGCGAGTCGAAGTATTGGCCTACCCAAGTTCGAACTTCGTCGTGATCCTTGAAGTGTTTATTGGCCAGGAAGTGCTGCATAGATCGAAATAAGTGGTAGTCTGAGGATGCCAGATCTGGACTATACGGCGGATGCGGGAGACATTCCCAGCCCCATTCCTCGAGTTTTTCCTGCGTCTTCTTTGCTGTATGTGGGCGCGCGTTATCTTGCAGATATCTCACAGTCGATGTGTTTACACCTTGATTCTTGAAAGCCAGGTTTACTCGTTCCAGCTGTTTCACATATAGATCTGAGGTGACTGTTGGACGTAGCAGTTGGCAAGTTGGCAAGAAGGTGGCACTTCAAAGTGTATAAGACCACGGGAATTCCAGACCTTCTTTTACAATTAGTTTAAGTGAGGTTTTAACCAGGGAATTTTGTCAAGTCAAGATAACATAGCCTTTCTTCCATGCGGATCACGTTGTGGCGTCGTTTTTGGCTGTTCTCCTGGACCTAACCACTGCCGTTTTCGCGATGGGTTATAGTAGTAAATCCATTTTTCATCGGCTGTCACAATAGTGTCCAAAAAACCTCGATTTTTTGATTGACGAAGAAGAATACCGGCCACAATCTTGACTTGACAAAATTCCCTGGTTAAAACCTCACTTAAACTAATTGTAAAAAAGTGTCATTAAAAATATCTAGATAATCTTTTTGGTGACAATATGTTTTCTGCCTGGGATTGTATTAGTTTTATCAACACTTGTTCAAGATAAGCAAACAAGTAAGTATTTAAAACTCCTATTTATACGGTTTGCTTTTCAGACAAAATTTTATCCAATGCACTAATGATAACCACTAATGCATTCTTCCGGCAATTCTCTTATCGTTCTTTTTGTGACGAAATACTATCGAGATCTTTTCATTAAACTTTATCAGGTAAAGACAAAGAATGCGACATTGACAACAATATGATTAGATTATTTCGTTTTCAGCGTCTCAAAAAACGCTTCAAATCACGAATTGGAGATTCCACTGCGTTTAAAGCACAAAAACGAAAGCCTTATGTCATTCGCCTGATGAAAAATGAAAAGAACAAGTTTTTTGTGCTTTATCTGATAGCTAACAATTCGATGTCTATAAAATCTTAATTTAAACATCATGTCCAAGCGTACTATTTTTCAGGATCCTTAAAAGATATATCCTTCGGTTATCAAGTTTTTCATTGGTTGAAAAATTGGTTCGAAAAGCCAAGTATGAATTGATATGAGCCGTGAATCAACCTATTTTCAACTCACGGATTATGCTTGGTCAAGAGCTTTCTCTGGTAATCGACTTATTGTTGAAGCACCAAATCAAAAGATAAGAGAAAAACGAGAGAACATTCATTTGAAGAGATGTTTCTATTGATCTTCTTTTTCATTGTGGTTTCACTGCAACAGATTGAGATTCAAAAATCCGTTGAATCAACGACTAATTTTCCGGTTGGCTATGGCAATGTAACTCCTCAACCGCCAGATCCACCACAACCGTCATTCAGTTCAGATTGTCACAATAGTCGGTTCTTTGAATTTGAAATATTAAGCAAATCTAGACTTAGGTTAGGTCTTGGTAAGCCATTCTAACCGAATCTCTGAAACTTTTAGTAAATTAACTTAAATTAACTTAAATTGAACTCTTATTTTGTAAAAACTCTACAAAAGCCAAATACTATAACTTTCAATTGGCCTGGACCTAGAATTTCAACCTTGCTGTTGAATTTAGTCCAATTTTTCTTAACTCTTTGCCTTAGCTTGACTTATTTCCAGGGTATACTGTTTTACAGTTTCTAAAAAATTAGTGCAAAGTGAGACAGAATAATCTACTATATATAAAAGAGAAGTGTCCGTCCGTCTGGCTGTCTGTCCGTCCGTTTGTCTGTCCGTCCATCTGTCTGTCCGTCACACTCTGGATCTCGGCTCCACATGAACCGATTTCGATAAACTTTTTTGATCGACGGAGAATTAAGAATCAAATGGTACATACTTTTTGGTCAAAACAAGTTTTTGATCAAAAACCTATGAAAAAGTCAGAAAAACCATTTAACCACGCTCCTTTTTGCCTTCAACTGCCCATGGTCGAGGTGGTTAGCGTCCCGTCTACAAAACGACCGCCTTATGGGGGTGTCGGGTTCGATTCCCGTCCGTTCCAAACTTTTTGCTTTAAATGTTTTCAGCCATGGAGTTGAAGAGGAGGGGACCCTTAAATCGAGAGATTAAACTATGCGTTACCTCCAAAACATCCAGCCAAAAATTTGCTATTAGGCGCTTTTTTGGGCTGGTGATTTATAAGCAATGAGCAGTTTGTCGTCCCACTGTTTAAAAACACCTAAAAAGCCGAAAACCAGACCAGGGTCAGATCGGGATGACAATAAGTACAATTATTGTTCGAAAAATGGCCTTTTAACAGCGCTTGATTTTTTGGGTTGATTTTGTCAACTATTTTTTGAATCACTGGGCTGAACTTTAATTGTGATCAACAATCACAACAATCACAACATTTAGCCTCCGTTTGGGCGGATAAAAAGACCTGTCCAACGAAGAGCTACGATCTTTACGTTTTCCTGCTTCTCGCTTCTGAGAATGAAGAGCCCGATGAGCACTTTAAGCTCATATCGAAGATTCTTCAGCCATGCATCGAGACGGAGAATGCCAAAAATAATAGGTAACTTTTTTAAGGGTTAAAGATTGGTTGACACAAAATTCAGCTACTTCACCATCTTGTCCAATGATCCAAAGGCGTACGATCGTAACCCGATTTCTATATTCGACAATTTCACGGCTGTAATCAACTCGATGCACTATCAAAAAACCTATTGGCCTTCGTTGGGTTTACTTTCAAAACTCGAACATTCCATTTTTAGGAAAGAATACCTTTACGGAGCAATGGAATCTTTCGAAATGGTTGAGAGCCAAAATCGATCGAATTTTCAGAAAGTGATTTATTTGATTACTGACGCAAAAGCTCAAGATGGTTGGCTTTTCATTGGGTATACAAAATTGACTAAAAATTTTCAGTTGATCGAGTAGATGCAACTTTTTGGCAAAACTTGGTTTCTTTTGCAAATGCTAACACGGATCCAAAAATAACTTCGATTTTTCGTGTCATATTTACAAAGGTTGGTTTGAAATCTCTGACAGAGAATGTCAGAGAATGTTATCTTTGGTTGATTATTTGATTTGACTTGGTAAGGGTGATTTTCCATGTTGAGTCGCTGATCATCTCCATAGTGGCTTGGTTTTAGTTAGTCCATTCCAAGTTAAATTTCAATTACATTTGCATTGAAATGGATAATCAACTTATTAAGAGACTAACTATTAAGTCGATGAATAAAAATAAACTAACTCGGTCAGGCAAAACAACTCTGACATCAGAAGAGATCTAGGTATTCATAGATAATTTCAACTTCATCAGAAATAGCAGAAACTGAACTTTGTAAAGCTGTAGATCTTAGCTCCACAAGATCCGGAAATCAGATCTTAGCTCTACAAGATTCGGAAACCAAGGTGCCAGAATTTCTATGCATTGAGTACTTGGCTATATAAAAGCCTGGTCCCTACTTAAACCAATTCACATTCTCTGATTTTAGACTGGCCTTATTGAAGGCACAAAAACGCAACTCTTATTGGATTCAGTCAGCGACGCGGCAAAAGAATACTTTCGCTACGTGAGTCAAGATCGAATCCGCTAAATCAAAGATTTTAGGACTATGGAGATCTTCTGAAGCAACCGAACGTAAGCGACAACTATGGCCTTTGTGCACCGTTACCTCCAAGTAGGTTTAGGAGTTTATTTTCAAAGATTGGAATTTGTTTAGGTAGCACTCTTCCATCATTTCCGAAATTTAAAGAAATGAGTGCCGTTTGGATTGTCTTGATTGCCCTTGGTGGCACGTTTCTTTTCCTTTTTGTGGCGATCGTTTGCATGTGCACGTGTTGCAGACGGTATTGTTGGTGTCCGGATTTTGGAGGGTGAGATTCAGAGCAGGAGTTTTTAAGATTGAAATCCAATAAGATCTAGAGGTGTTAAGCTTTACATTGTGAGGCCGTTAAAAGGGTGATTAGACATAAAAGTAAGTTTCTTGACATAAACATTGACCGTTTCTTGGATCTGATACTAGCTCACGCTGGCTCATCTAGTTCCTGCTAATTTAAGCTTCAAACTTCAGAATTTAAACTTGTAAGCTTTGCATTTGCGTTGTGAAATCAATCTTGGAATGGTGAATAAGGGTTGACTGGACATTGACTGTCTCTTAGAACAGATATCATCTCCAATTATTGAGTATTGCATCCCGATTGTTTCATAACATAAGATAGCTTAGATTTCATAGATTAGATTTCTTAGATTTCATAAGATAGCTTTTTAACCGTACTTTTGCTACTGAACCGTCATACATAGTCAATAAATAAAGTCAAACATAACTTCTAAAAACTGACGTCGATTCTACAATTTGGGCCGCCCAAAAAAACGTTCAGTTGCCACTGATTTCGTTTATGAAATCAACTTATGGATAAAAATCAAAGAGTCAGTAGTTTTACAAAAACTTTTAGCATCAACTGGACGAAAAACGTTGGAGAACAACTGCGAGAAAGGATTTACGATGAAACGGAGCGTTTCACGATTCAAGTTCGAGGAAAAGTAAACTAAGAAAAGATTTGGAAATGCCTAGCTTTCAGAGAAAACCCAACAACGACTATTCGACTAGTTTTGAGAGAGATTATGGCTGGAAGAAAAATAAACAGCAGAATAGGTATAAATCAAAAGATTGCAAAAAAAATTAAGTTTCAAGAATCATTGACGAATGGGAAGTCTCTTCAAGCGATCTGCAAATTTTCGAGGAGAAGTTAGGAGCAGGAGCATACGCAGTTGTTTACAAGGGTCATTTGAAAGGGATTCCACCGGTGGCCAAAGTGTATCCATCGATGCAAGTAAAGCTTTAGTGAAGAGATCTGGCAAATTGTTTCAGCTTTCTTATGTTCTTTCAAATGATGCAAATTATGTGGCGGTGAAAACTACACATGAATATGCAACGAATGAGGAAAGGTTGGTTAAAGGATCGAATTAAAGTTTCGATTTTGACATTGGTTTTTTCTTTAATAGTGAATTCACTTGCGACGTCTTTCTGAGGAAATTCTGGCTTGGCGCTTTAACTAAAACTACGTTGGCGTTGGGTTGGCGCTAAAACTACGGTACTCCTCCTAATTTGCGAAAAATTTCATTTTTTTCATCCTTGTTCATTTCATTTTTTCTTTTTGCATTGCTCTGATGTGGTCACGTTTGTTTTTGGAGAAAACAAAGAGGATAAAGCTAAGTTACGTTTTTAACAGCATTTTCCGTGACGGAAGCTTTGTTTATAGAGTTTTTTTAGACCCACTTGCTTTTTGAAGATCTGCTCTACGAACTTGATGCCAACTAATGTTAAGTTAAGTAGTTTTTATCATTTTCTATGGTGAAAGCTTTGTTTTTGTGACTTTTTAATTGAAAAAACGTTGAAACGTTGAAAAAAACGTAAAAAGGATAAAATGAAATGAACAAGAATAAAAAAAATGAAATTTCGCGCAAATTGGAGGAGTACGGTAGTTTGACCACGCTTTAAACCCAGGATTTTCTCGAAAAAAGGCTGCAAGTAGTGAATTCAGATCTCTTCATTAGCTAGCTTGGTATTTGGTACTTAAAACCTGAGAATTTCGACTATTGTTGAGCAAGCCAGTCTTATAAAAGATTAGAGTTAGAAACACAATATTTACCATCAATACTTTGCTCTGTTTAGCAAATCAATCTGCTTTCTATCCCAATTTGAAAGCTTAGCACTGATTTTTATACTCTAGCATAAGTTTTCTAGTATTGTCACGTTGGTTTGCCATACTGTAACATTGCTGATTGTTTGAAAAGCAAGGTATGGTAGCTTTCTAGGTTTTTAAGAAAATTTTTGTCTAAAAAACTGCCGTAACAAAGGTTACGATGGCTTTTTCCAGCGAGGAGGTAGCTAGAAGCACCATAATAGTGCTATGATAGCCTCCCCTTAAGCGCAACTTTTAGAAAACTTTTACTGTCTGAAGGAATTTGCAACCCCAGATAACCAGTTTCATTTCAGATTAGAATTCCTGCAAGAAATCAATTTCATGAAGCAATTAGAGTATCATCCTCATATTCTTTCTTTGGTCGCCTGTTCAACGGCTCCAAATTACCCTCTAATCTTAACAGAGATTTGTGAACTTGGAGATCTCTTGACTCTAGTCAGAAATCTTGGATTGGATTATAAAAATCTTGTGAGTTCACTCAAATATTATATTTATCAACGTTATTCAGTTGAATGTTATAGAATTCAACGATTTGGTCCCAATCGCCTGGCAAATCAGTGATGCTTTGGTAAAGAAAGTATCTGTCGTAGCCGTTTACGAAATTCAGTCAAAAAACTTGCCTAATAGCTCATTTTGTAGCCAATTTGATGTAGTTTCTTAAAGTAAAGCCATCTAAAACAATTTTTCGTTGAAAGTAGGAGAAAGAGGGCGAGGCACAAATTCAGGTCAATTCTCAAATGTGAAAACAGCGACCGAGTTCAACTGAAGTCGTTCCTCGCCCTCTTTCTCCTAGCTTTGAAAAACAAATGTTCAATGTAGCTTTACTTTAAGAAACTACATCAAATTGGCTACAAAATGAGCTATTAGGCAAGTTTTTTGGCTGAGTAGAAAATTTTTTATAGCTATTTTAGGGCATTTTTGAACCTAAACTTTGGGGGCTCAAAAAAATTTTTCTACTGAACCAAATGAGCTAATTTCAAAAATTTATTATAAAATACATTTATTATGAACATTTTTTATGTGGGTGACTTTTTGATTGGAGGCCCGGAAATACCCTCATTCGTTAGCGGCTGAATTTCGTAAACGGCTACGACATATCGATTTTTGTTAAAAAACAACCACTTGCAGACGTTCTTATCCGACAAAAACATAATTCATCGAGATGTCGCAGCAAGAAATATTTTAGTGACAAAAAATAAAATGGCTAAGGTGAGTGAAGTGAATAAGCAAAAAAATTATCCAAAGATTAGCTCTCAGATTTTGGTCTCTGTCGTTTCAATAAAGAGCTTTTCTATCATTCAAGGGGTGGAAAGTTGCCAATAAAATGGATGCCTCCGGAATCGATTGAATTCGCACATTTCTCTACAAAATCCGATGTGTGAGTTTTAGAAGTGTTAACTTTCGAACAAGTTTAATGCTGACACGCTTTAGAAACTTATTTATCACGAAAATGCTTTAGCCTAGAGTGTCTGCATTTTAAATAAGTAATTACTTGAGTAAGCGCCAAGTAAAACGTCAAGTAACAACCATTCTAAAACGCTCCCCTTTAGCAATTTAGTATATAAGGATTTTTGAGGCGCAGCTTGACCAAAATACGGCGACGCTTGACCGCTTATTGTCTTTTGACTTGACTTGATTGGCTTTAGCTTTTTGGGTAACAGCGTAATCATCTTTAGAGGCTTAGATCAAGGTAAAGAGAAATTCAAAAAGCTAATCGTGCAAAGAAAACAATACCCCAAATGTGCTAACAAAAGTTATCTATTGGATTGGTGGAGAAATTTTTGACTTGGCACATATTTCTTTTTTTCCAAAAGTTTAGCCATAGCTTCTTCTTTATTTCTGCCTCTGTAACAAGTACAGAGTTGCCTTTTGCGCTTCGTTTTCATTCCAATCTGATGCGGACTTTGATTTTTTTTTTTTTTTTTTTTTTTGAGGGGCAGCCGCTTTGATTGAAAATAGTCAATTTTTGAATTAGTTTGTACCAAATCAGTGATACCCAGAGAGAAAGAGCAATTGTAAAATCAAAGCAAGTGTTGTTTTAAAGAGCATGACTTGGCCTGTCATTGATTTCCGATTTTCTAAAGAATAAGCGCAACATTTTCTGAATTTTTTTTGTGCATAACCAGTAGAGTTGCCCTTTTTGTGCCAAAAGTTTTCATCCCAATCCGATGCTTAGTTTTTGTGAAATCGTGACGAGAGTGTTATCACGACAACAAATTATTGAAAGTGCAATCCTAGGCAAGTTTTTAGATTATCCTTAAAGCTAGATCAATAATCCGCAACCAAGTCATACAGCTTTCCGATTTGAGCTTTTGAACCCCTACTAAATAAACATCTTTCGCCAGACTTAAACCACGAAGAAAACTTGATCTCTTTTTTAAATCACTATTCCACAAAATTTAATCACTGGGATCTTTTTCTTGTGAAGATTCCATTCATTCAAAAAGCAAATCAAAGTTCAAATAGGGAAAGATTGAACAAAGACATGACCGCTCAAAGGAAACCGGAAAAAGATCTAAGATTGTCGACACAGATTTTGGCTCCAATTTTCTTTAAAATCAAAAATCCAATAGTGTCATTGAGAAAAGTGAAAGATGGATCTGTTTCGGATCGTTTTCTTTTAATAAGAATGGTGGCGATTTTCCACTACGGAAGACCAAACCGTTTTTTTTCCTTGCTTTTTGGGTGAACCCTTGGCGTCACTCACTTGGCAGGGGAGCTAAAAAAACAGAGAAATTGAGACTAGATTCTTCCGGGGATAAAGGTTTTTGAGGTATTTTATGACTTTAATCAAATATTTATGGTTCCTAAATATAAAACGTTTTTGCTTAGGGTGTAGGGATGAAGTATTCCAAGCAGCTTGGTTTCTAGTTTTGAGTCGAAAAGAAAGAAACTTTGTAGACGTGATTTAGCTACTTGGTAGCATCATTATTCAAGCTATCTAAAAACATTTTTGTCTAAAATTATCCATTGTTCTTATCAAAATGAACACTTTTTATCTTAAAGGGAGAAAAGTTTCTTGAATATCGAGGTTGAGAAATTCTCATAATCCCCAACTCTATTTTTCGAGTATTCCGGGGGGTTACTGTGGCCAAAAACTAATATTTGATTCGTATTCCCATCCCCGAAAACCCTAGTAGACAAATTTTCAACTTAATCAGTCCATAAATTGCCGTAAAGGCTCTCTAATAGAAGAGCCCCTGTTAGGTGCGTCGCATAGTCTAAGTTTACTCTCGAACAAACGCTCATATCTCCGACACCAGTACGTTTGTTTCTGCGGGTTTGATTATTAAATTAAAGTAGAAAGATAGGGGGGAATTTTGGAGTTATTATATGTATTTTAGCTCCTAACCAGCACTTAGAAAGTGATTGAAAAATGGTGAAAGAACACCCCGGTTTTCACACTTTTCAATCTTTTTTTCTAAGCGCTGGTTAATGCTAAATATGTGTTATATCTCGAAAAAATCTCCTATCTTTTTATTTAATTTGACACCTAAAGCAGCGCATGGACAAAGGTACGGTGTCGAGATATGGTATTTATAGTGTAAGCTTAGACTTATGTTTCGTAGAGAGGGCTGATTAGAGCTTTGGCAATTTATGAGCTGATTAAGTTGAAAATTTATACTAGGGTTTTGAGATGAGGTGGAATCAAATATTTGATTTTGGCTACTTTTTAAGTCCTACAGACGCTCCTATAGGGGGTGCTTCTATTAGAGCTTTTACGGTACTTCGCCTTTTAACCGATGATAAACGTAATTACGGAGCGTCGTGTATGAGCGTATGGGCTAGATATGAGGGTTACTTTTGAGCGTAAACTTAGATTACGCAACGGTCCTAGAAGGGCTTAGGCTTAGGCTTTTCTATTAGAGCTTTTAAGGTATACCAATTTTCTTATGAGATCCACCGATGACTCCTATTGTCGCCAGTGTGTTAAATGTGCTAAAATCTTAATTTTAAATTTGCCTAAGTCTTTACTTTTCATATTTTTATATGCTTTTACTTCACTATTCATAACTCAAGCTGACAGGAGCTTTGTTATTGTTGATAACCCAGGCTTTTATCTAACTACCGGCTTTCAGGGGGAGGAATTGAAGAAAAGATCATCAATTTTTAGTTTGACTGGTTTTTTTGACGTCATTTTACTCTGAATATCTGAATTTCTTTGTATCCGAAGGAAATAGCTTCAACCATAGGCCAAGACATTACCTTACAAATACCCATGTTCAACTTCTCAAATTCTTAGCTGCTTGTTGACCTTAAACACTATAATCATATAGCTTTAACGCTATAAACTTTTAACTATAATCTTATATGTAAAAAAGCAATCAAATCCTTCAAGATCTTTGCAAATAGACTCTCCTCTTTCCGGTCCAAATTCCACTGCCTCCTCTCTATCATCACTTTCTCGTATCTTCTCCAATCCATTCAATAATCTCGCTTAAATCTCGAGATCAAAACCAAATGATCTATCGTTTTTCAATCTCACTTTTATCTTTTATGAACAAGTTTCGGGAAGGAGGCTCCACGGTGCCCGATCGCTCTTCCAACGATGACGCTGCATTCTCAAGGTAGCTTTGAAAAGTGTTCGCTTATTATAAGATTTATTGACTGTTTAACTAATAGAATCTCTTCTAAAAGATCTAAAATTTCTACTTCTTATAGAAATCTTATCAAATCTAAACCCTATCAAAATCTAACGATGCTTTTTTTGCAGCCTAATCATGTTTTATCGAACTGCTTTGCTAAAATTATCCTAAAATTATGCTTTGGCATCCGGTTTGCTAAAATTAGCCTTGACCTTAAAAATTTGCATACAAAAGCACTCTTTTCTTTCATTTACTCCCGTCGGTTCATTCATTTTCAGAAATTTGCATATTTGATATCAAAAATGTAAATTTTGAAAATCTGATCACCCCCCGTCTTCCACACTCGATTACCCTTACTAGGGATGCTTTTGGATTTACACCTTGGTTTTGAGCAGAGACCTAGCACATCTTGTTCAGTTTTTTGCGCTGATTCCGATGGTGTATGTCGTTAGGGGATGACGGTTTGAAACCCGAGATATTTCGCTTAAAAGTTTACGTCAAGATTGGGTATCCACGATTTTCTATAAATTTTAGGTTAAAGACACAAAGAAGAGCCATTAAAAGCAAGTAAAAAAGGCTAATCGAGTGTGAAAGACGGGGAGAGTAATCAAATTTGCCAAAATTCTTACATTTTTGATCGAAATCGTGATAAGAGACACACAAACCCACAGATAATTTTTCAAAATATTGTAAATTCAAATTGAAAGCTGTAATCTAGACTTCTAGGGGTCAAGATTTAAAGCTTTCAAATTTGTTTAGCACAGTTTGCTCACAAATTTACTAAGCAATTTGTTAAGTAAAGCAAAGCTAAGCAAAGCAAAGCTAAGTAAAAGGAAAGCTAAGTAAAGGAAAAGCTAAAAAAGCAAAAGAAAAAGCAAAGCTAAGAAAAGCAAAGCTAAGCAAAGCTAAGTAAAGCAAAGCTAAGCAAAGCAAAGAAAAGCAAAGCTAAGAAAAGCAAAGCTAAGCAAAGCAAAGAAAAGCAAAGCTAAGCAAGGAAAGAAAAGCAAAGCAAAGCAAGCTAAGTAAAGCAAGCTTAGTAAAAGCAAAGCTTGGCTTTGCAAAGCATAAACAAAGTAAAATTTTAATACTCAAGCACTGAGCTAAGCCATTTATTAAATATCTACTTTCCTGAAGCATTAATTTTTCAGCATTTAGTCATTTTCGAACTTTAATGTCTTCTTTTAACTTTAAGCAAACTAGTTTAATGTCAAACTTTTTGTTTACTTGCAAAAGCAAGATTCAGAAGATAAAATGCAATTCTTTTCCTAAGTAAATCTAAAGAAATTTCCGGGATGTTCCCCCAGGGCATCTCTCTAGAAAAGGGGGTTCCCCGTTGGCGTTGAAAGGGCGCAAATTGGGCTTCTCGCGTGTTTTCCTCTGCATTCTGCATTTTTTTCCCTTTTTCATCCACTCATCCTTTTTCTTTTCGATTTAGCTTCACATCTAATGCATTTTTCTGTCTGCTACTCGCTCATTTCCTTACTCTTTTTTGCATGAATCCTATTTGGCAAAAGGCCAGTCTGTGGTTTGTGGAAGAAGAAAGAGACGGGCCTTCTGCATCAGCCAATATTCCCTGCGTTTTATGGATTTGAGTCTTGTTTTTGAGAATTAAACAGACTTTTGTTTGAGCTAAAAACAATTTTAGAAAGAATTTTAATTTATACGGTTTTACTTATGCCAATTAGACTGGGATTTCCCAATTTTCAAAAAATTAAAGCTCATAGAGAATTTCCAGGTCAATGGCAATAAACTGCATTGTTCGGGGCTTTAGAAATAAGTCTTTTACAACTTTTTTTTATCAGCCAATCATTCTTCATTGGCTCTTTTCATTATCTTAAAGTCATCCTGCTGTTCTCTCTTAGTTTATTGGCCTTGATTCTTGATCTCTTGATTTAAAAGCTACTGACCTCACAAGAGGGTTAGCTACTGATTTTACTCTTGATTTAAAAGCTACACATGCTTCAACTACTATCCCATAACATATCGTTACTTTCACTACCACTACTTAAATAAACATGAGTTCTAATTAGTAACTCGATAAAATAAATAGCGCCAATCGATTTCCTGACCCCCAAAAACCCCTAGTTACAAATTTACAGCTAAATATCTTTATTTGAGGCCATTTACAAAGTAAAAGAGAAATCCTGTAAATGACTAAAGTAAATGACTGGCGAGTTGTTGTTTGTGTGGTCCCATAATCGCTCTCCATCTGGCAAACCCGTTCGGTATAAAAGGCTTCTTTTTGGAAAGCTCTAAGCGGTGAAGGACTGAGCTTTTTCACTTTCATTATAGGGATCATTATGCACAAATCCCTGGGGAACTTTTGCTTTAAATTTGGCTATAGTTTTGATAGAAATTCTACATTCCTCTAACCAAAACTGTCTGAAATACCTTAGGTTGAACAAATACTCATTTAAAACAGTAGCTAATGATTAATCAAAATAAACTCTTTCTAAAGTATATAAAGACTTTCTAAACACCGTCCTTTTTCCAATCATTCGCGCCAACTTTCCCCGTTTCTTTCCCGCTTTCCCATCTCCGCGATAATTTATTCATTACCAAGGCAACCATCGTTTTTTCCAACGAACTGACACGAAGAAAACATTGAGAAAAAAATCTCTCCCCGCTTTTTCATTTTTACACACAAAGAGAAAAAAAAGATTCCTTTCAAAAATAGCTCTCATTTTTGATTTGGTTTCGATATCAAAATCTCCGAGTGTTTAGAAAATATTTTGACTAGACACTTTTTGCTTCGTGAAGATAATTTTTGGTCGTCAAATCTTTTTTGAAGTCAAATTGATTTAGATCTCATCACTAAGACGATTAAAATGATAGAGTTTTTTTAGAATATGCAGGCTTAACTTCAAAATGTACTAATGTATTTAAAATTTACCCTTCTTTCACTTTCAACTGATTGCCTTCAACTGATTCAACTTTCAACTGATTGCCCGTTTCCTGAGGGCTTTTTCAATTGCCATGAAGAAACCGATTTATAATATATTTGATTAACCGTTTTCTGAATGCTTTTACCTACCGTATCCAGCTTAAAAATTTAAAACATTTTACTAGTTGTGAGTTAAAATAAAACTACTTTAGTTGCATTTTCTAAAAAGTTCACACTTTTATTCCTCATCAAATAAAATCAAAATTCAGTTTACGATGGAAAGATGATGTCATTTTAAATTGTCCATTTTTTAAGAAGCTCTAATAGAGTAGACTTGCTTCGTGAACGAAAAGCAGCTCATTCGTTTCCCAGTTGATTTCCATTCGCTTCCTATTCGGTTCCAATTCGGTTCCTCATCGGTTCATCATCGGTTCCTATTCGGCTCCTATTAGGTTCCTATTCGGTTCCTCATCGGTTCCCATTTGGTTTCCATTCGCTTCCTATTTGGTTCCTATTTGGTTCCTATTTGGTTCCTATTTGGTTCCTATTCGGTTCCTATTCGGTTCCTCATCGGTTCCTATTTGGTTCCCATTCGCTTCCTATTTGGTTCCTATTTGGTTCCTATTTGGTTCCTATTCAGCTCCTATTCGGTTCCTATTCGGTTCCTCATTAGTTCCCATTCAGGTTCTTTTCGGTTTCCATTCGGTTCCCCGAATGAAAACCGTAAAGGAACCGAATAGGGAACCGAATGAAACCGTAAAGGACCCGAATAGGAACCGAATGGAAACCGTAAAGGACCCGAATAGGAACCGAATGGAAACCGTAAAGGACCCGAATAGGAACCGAATGGAAACCGTAAAGGACCCGAATAGGAACCGAATGGAAACCGTAAAGGACCCGAATAGGAACCGAATGGGCCCCGAATCATCTCTGAACTATAGGAAATTTGATCATCTGATCATAAAAGTTTTAAAAAAACATTGTTTCAAGCATTCCCAAGATCTTTGTTTTCTTTTGTTCCTTTTCAAATGTTTCGCAAGAAGTCACAGCCATTGTCAGCGTAAACAACCCATTTTCTCTCAAAGAGAACCGAATTTGCGAGAGGGTTTCCGCCTTTTTTCTCACCACATACTCCTATTTTCTTCATTCTCTTTATTGTTTTTCTCTCCAAAAACCCGATAAAATTGCTACCAAATTCACTGGAAGCCATATTTTCCTCATATGATTTTCTAAAACCATGCCAATTTCTCAGCGCTCTACGCGATTCGCATTTAATTTGATTCATCCGCGTGCGGCACCGATATTGAGTGAGATCTTTCAAATTAATGCATTTGAAAAGATAGCAAAAGAAAAGGAAAACAATAATGTTTTTCACTTTTTGGCTTTTTAATATGTTTACAAGGCTTCAGTAATGCACTTATTTGATTTTAATCTTGCTAAAGGGCTTCTGGAATTATGGAAACTTGGTTTTTCGACTGTAACTCGACATCCAATTATTCAATTCCCTTAATTTAATATTTATATGAAATTCCAAGTTAATTTCTGCGCTCAATTTCATTTTTTATTTCAGAAACACAGTGTTACGCTTTTTAAAAAGTACTTCAAAGTTCATCGGTACCAACCTCTTGGCTGAATCGTTTTTTGGCAAGATTTGCACTTATTTTGAAGAATTTCCCGCTTCATATTTACTCATTTTTACTTTTTATTAAGAAATAGTATTATCTGGAGCATTTTACATCAGAAGATTCTCAATAATTTCAAAATTTTGAGAGCTATTAGTTGAATCCCCTAAAAGCTGAGCAGTGTAGCAATTTCAAAGGTGCTAACCTTTCGGCAGAATCATCGTTTTCGATAGTTCTTTTCAACAAATCAATCAATTTATTTAGTTGTTTTTCTACTTTTTAGTTAAATTTAGACAAAGATCACAAAATAAATGCATTAAATTTTGCAAGACAGCAAATCAGGAATGATTTTAAATGAAAGGGAGTCACTATACAGATCGCTGCTCTGCTCAGCTCAGCTTTCAGGGGATTCAACTAATGGCTCTCAAAATTTTGAAATTATTGAAAATCTTCTGATGTAAAATGCTCCAGATAATGCTATTTCTTAATAAAAAGTAAAAATGAGTAAATATGAAGCGGGAAATTCTTCAAAATATGTGCAAATCTTGCCAAAAAACGTCAGTGAAGAGGTTGGTACCGATGAACTTCGAAGTACTTTTTAAAAAGCATAACACTGTGTTTCTGAAATAAAAAATGAAATTGTGCGCAGAAATTAACTTGAAATTTCATATAAATATTAAATTAAGGGAATTGAATAATTGGATGTCGAGTTACAGTCGAAAAACCGAGTTTTCATTATTGTGCACCACCCTTCTATTCACCTGGTCACTCAGTTTGCAATTAAAATTTGTTCTTTACGAGTTTGTTTTCTAAAAAAATGTCAAATTTATAAGATTACTGTAATTTTTTCTTAAGATTTTATCTGATTTACTTGATTTTGCTCTCATTCGATTCACAGTTTGATTCCTTATTGGATGAGATTATAAATAAAGGAAATCAAACAAAATCTAAAAGTAAGATTCGGTAGTTTTTCAAATTACAGTGTCTCAAAAAAAAGGCCCCTTTTCAACCTCAATTTTAAAAAAACTTTAAATGGCTATTGGTGGCATTCCTTGTGCCAAAACTATGTTTTCTTTAAGGCAATTTTTACACTTTTCTTTGAGAATTTTTTTGTTTTCTTGACGCCTTATATACGAAAATTTTTCACCATCACCATGAAATTTGAAAAAAAATGTTAAATCTAGTCAGCTTAGAGGTTGGATTTGATAGTTTGTTTGAGCTGTTTAGTTTGAGCTGATTTGAGCTGTTTAGCTTCTTCTTTGAGCTTCTGTTTTAAACCTTTTAACAGACTTGTTCTTTTTTTGCTTAAGTTAAGTAATATTAAGTTAAATTTGGTCTATGAGGCTATGATTTTTTTCACTAGCCTTTGGAATTGTCATGCTAGAGTTAAGGCAGACTAAAGCTAAATTAATTGCTAGTAAGCTCTGCTCTTTGAAGTTGTCTTGGTAATTTTTGATATCCAATCAACCTTTACGCGGGTAATACATACACTGACTAGTAGCCAGAGTTTGAACTGGCTGCAGTCAAGTTTCATAAGCATTTTCCGATCATTTTTTCACCATTTTAAGCTAAAATTTTAAAGCTTTTGAGCCAGACTTACAGTGTGTTTCAAAAAAGGCCCTTTTCAAACAGAATTTTAGAAAAACTTTAAATGGCTATTGGTGGCACGCCTTGTGCCAAAACTATGTTTTCTTTAAGGCAATTTTTACACTTTTTTTGAGAATTTCTTGTTTTCTTGACGCCTTACACAATTTTTCACTATCACCATGAGATTTTTGCCATAAAATTAAAACTCTCTATTGACATCGTGGTGCATAATAAACGCTATTAAAATAACTATAAATTTAAATTCAGAATACAACACTTGAAGAATTTTTTCCTAAAACTGAAATCATTTTCCAATTCACTAGATTAACAAACTATCAAATCCAACCTTTAAAATGACTAGATTTAATATTTTTTTACCACCTTTATCTTTGTTAAATTGTTCATCAAATGTTTCCAGTTCCCGAGCCGGGTGGACTTGCCGCGTGCCGCACAAATCAGGAGGCCATCCACTGTTGTACACCCGACGACGGGTATTGTAGTCCCGTTTACAAGTGAGTCATTGAGAGGAATGGTTTAAGTAATGAACCATTTCTAGGACCTCCGAAGAGTTCGGTCATTTACTCTTGGCAATGACGGGGAATACCATGGAAACTCTGCCCAAGTCAGAGCCACAATCACCAGCTGCGAAACGAGTCTACAAATTGGTGCTAACTGGAGGTCCGTGCGGAGGGAAAACTACAGGACAGGTGCAGTTTACTGCAATGATAAAATTTCGCAACTCACTTACGATAAAATGGCTAAGAATATTAGGCCAAGGCTAATTCTGGTCATTCGGCATGACGCTTTACAATCTTGAGCAACTTTACCTGTAAAAGCAAGAATTTGTTTTGAAGTAGCAGAAGTTTTAAATGAAATCATGGGATTTAGGCTGGCAGTACAAGTACAAATGAATTTGAGTTGTATTTGCACTATACAGGGTGACGCGCAATTACGGAAACCAATATATTTCTGGCTTAATAATCACTGTTGTTAACAATAACCAACAAATCTATTCTTTATATCCCAAAAAAAGAAGAGTTAGTTCTTTTCAATAAGATCTCCTTTCGCTGCGATACATGATTGAAGACGGCGCGGAAAGGCATCAACGATGGCAGAATGATAGGCGACGTCGAGCCTTTTGAAGAGATTTCCTCAAAGAATCAATGGTTGAATGAGCTTTAAAGCATGCCTTGGCCTCTAGGACACTCCAAACGCTGAAATCCAATCCCATCAAACGTCTTGAGATACCAATTTTTGAGGCTAATTTTTGTTGAGAACTAGCTTCTTTGTAGCGTAGGCTTAGGCTTAGGCTTAGCACTTTCTTCACCCTCTCCTTTGTCATCCCTGTCGTCTTTGGGCCTCGTCCTGGTCGATCGGAACTTCTTCCCAAGGCTTTGTAGCATTGAATTGTCTTTTAAACAACAGACTTAGCCACCATCAATCGAAGGAAAATGCTTTCTGTCTCATTCCCTGTTTGTAGTTGATGATCGATCTGTGCTCCGATTTCTTCGTCATTCTGAGATTCCAAAAATAAAAGCAAATAAGATATTGTCAAAATCTTAATTGACAAGAAAAACAGAAAAAACTACCAAAATTTTGAGTAGGCGCCCTCAAAACCATTAAGAAGAACGTGCCACCTGCGCGTCACCCAGTAGATCAAAAAAAACTCTCTCAGATTCCCAATTAACAGAAAAACTGGGTAATTAAACATCAATAAAAATAAACACAAATTTCAGGAACGCCTCGCGACATTTTTCGAGAATCTTGGCTGGAAGGTGTTCACCGTTCCCGAGACAGCCACCGTTCTTCTGGGAGGAGGCGTGAAATTTCAGGCATTCCGAAGGTAACGAAGCATTTCTTGCTAACTTTTGGCTTCAGGAGTTGACTCCTCAACAGACGTATGAATTCCAGAAAGACTTATTGAAGACTCTGATTCGAATTGAAGATGTTTGTATCAAATTTTTGTTCAATTTGCATAAATAACTTTATGTGTTTTAGGTGTTTTTCAACCAAGCAGCTTTGATAAATGACAGAAATGTGCTCGTGATTTGCGATCGAGGAGCAATGGATCCATCAGCTTACATTGGTGAGTTGAAATTCTGAAAAAGATTTAAGCCAATTTTCTTGAGCTTTAAGACATTTTGAAGCAATTTAAGCAATAATCCATCGAAATAGTAAGAAGTATTAGATAATAGACTTGTTCTTTCAGTGTACTTTGAGCTCTAAGATCTGAATTGAAATCCAAACTGTATGTGGTACTTGATTCTAGATTTTTTCAAAGCAATAACTTGTTGTTTGAGAGAAAAACGAGGAATTAAGTGCACCAGAAAGGAAGTGTTTACCAAATTCATCAATTCACTCCATTTCAGATGATAAAGGATGGAATCAAATGCTTTCCGAATGCAATGTCGATCAATTCTCATTGAGAGAGGATCGATACAATCAGGTAAATGAACCAAAAAATCTAAATAATAATCTAAATCATTTTGTGAACAGTTTCATTCTAAATACTTTTAGATTTGTCACCTTGTGACTGCTGCGGATGGAGCTGAAAACTTCTACACTTTATCAAACAATAACACAAGAAAAGAGGGAATTGATGCAGCAAAGAAACAGGATGATCTCACAAGACAAGTTCGTTTCAATTAGAATTTATATAAAATTAGTATTTTAGGTTTGGATTGGTCATCCATACGTCGACATTATTGACAACTCAAATTGCAAGAACTTTGATGATAAAATCTTAAAGTTAATAGAGGTGGTGTGCTCGAGAATCGGGATTCCGACCGGAGATCGGCTACACAAAAACAGCAAGTTGGTTTGAAAAAGTTTCAGGGCAAATTTTTAGAAAACTTTCTTATAAGCTTTCTTATAAGCTTTCTTTTAAGCTTTCTTATAACTTTAAAAACTTTCTGATAACTTTTAGAAAACGCAAGTGGCTCGTGCGATCACTCGATTTGCTCGACTTTCCGAAAACTGAAGAGTTTAAAGTCACACATGATTATTTGCTGAGTGACGATCCTGCCATTCAGGTAAGAATACGGCCCTTTCTTTGCAATACTCAATTTCAGATTCGAATCCGTTCACGAATGCAAAAACAATCGGACAACTTATACAATCACTTCCAGACACTTTTTGAATGGAGAAACGGTGGAGACGAGGATGAAGATCAGTGAGAGAGAGTATCAGAGGTTTGAAACCAATAAGTTAATCACGAAATGAAATTGAACTCAGCAAAGGATTTAGCAAAGAATTTAGCAATATTTACTAGAATGACTTGATAGATAGTCGACATTGTCTCTACAAACGACAAGTTCAGACTAAAAACCATTGTAGAAACGCATAGAATAGATATTTTTGAAAACTTTTTCTACCAAAAGGTCGGGCTAACTTTAGGCTTTCGGATCACACAAAAATCAAACCAAATCATGTTCTCTGCACTGAGATATAACGTTTTTTAAGGTTTGTAGTTAAGACGAGACTACAAACGGATATAAATTGCTCGTTCTCAGAGTAAAAATGGTTCATTTTCTTGATTTTAGTGTCATTCGAAAGCCTAAAGTTGGCTTGTTTTTTGAAAAAAAAAGTTTTTAAAAATATCTATTCTATGCAATTCTACGCGGGTTTGTAGTTTGAACTTGTAGTTTGTAGGGTCCATCTCTAATAGATACCGTAAATACTGTAATAGTACCCCACCCCCCTCGTACAGTCGCGTAGTCGCAAAAGTTTTTCAGTATTTCATTTTTTTCAAAGCGCCCGTAGTTTCAAAAAATGCGTCTTTGGTATCAAAAAATAGCTGAAATTCAGGGCTATTTTTTGATACCTAAGCGCGCATTGTAGCATAAACCAGTGGCGAGAAAAACTCGTTCAAAGCTAGACTATGCAACGCTCCGCACCGTTATGATGAGGGCGGGGCACTATTACAGTATTTACGGTAGGTCTTAATAGGTCGAAAATTCAAGCCAAGTTACTTCAAGTATTTGCAGTTAAAGTTCACACGTGTACTTTAATGAATTTCCCAGTATTATTGAAGGATGCAAAAAATAAGTCGAGATTTGGTTAAATTTAGAAGCTTACATCTATTTGTTACATTTATCAACCGTTTTAAGATATCTCACAATGAAAGACCGAAGTCGTGCCACGATCCACAAGCAACGTCGGTGTTTCACTTATGGAAATCGGTATTTCAATCTTGGTGAGTGAGTAAAAAGTAGAACAGACTAAAGAATTCAATTTCCCAATAAAATATGATCCGATCTTCACTTTAGATGTCTACGTGGAGCCTCTTCCTCCAGCCGCTCACGGTCCGGTGATCATCTTGGAGACTTACACGACGAATGAAGGTGATTCAACTCTGCCACCGTTTCTCGAGATTTCCAAGGAGATTACTGGTTAGTTTTTAGCTTTTTAGATTCCAAAGGAAAGATTATATGATATAGGTCAAAAGAAAACTTTTAGGTAACCCACAATACAGCATGTATGAACTGTCAAAGCGTCCCAGTGTGCCTTCAGCCTCATTTCAGGTAACTTTTAAAAGCCATTTAAGAAACAATTAAAAAGCAGTCATTTACGAAACAAACAGATTTACCAAAACTCTTGAATAAAGTGTTTTCTAAAACAGGTAAACTTTTGAAAGCTATCGTAATCCTTCTTATAGTTTTATTTAATCTATTGGGTTGGTGAATTGAAGACCTTGGGGACTTTGAACTAAAATTTATTCAACATAAAACCATGAATTCATTCGAAATAATTTCCATTATTATTGACGACTTCTGCCCATTTTACAGGCAATTTGCGGATTCCTCTTTCTTAGTAGGATTTTGGTTTGTGTGTGAGACAAGTGGGAGACTCAAAAATGGAGGACTGGAGACGTCAGCCGTCAGCCCAGTTTGAGCACTTTCTTCAAAAGAAACCCATTTTGGTGTCAATAGAAAAGTTGTAGAGAATCAAAAATTAGGCTTATAGCCAAATTTCCAAAAAGATACACTTAGTAGTTTCGCTTAAAATGCAAGTTTTGTGAAAATTCGTAAATTTGGCATTTCTTGAAAACGAAAATGAATCATTCTGAAAATTTGGATATAAGCTTTATTTTTGATTCTCTACAACTTTTCCATTGACCCCAAAATGGGTTTCTTTTGAAGAAAGTGCTCAAACTGTGACATATGACAATAGCCCGCAGTTTTCAATTCACCAACCCAATAGCTTGATATTTGGAACCATTACATAGTCAAATCAGCTAGATTGGATAAGTCTACAGCCAAAATTACGATAGTTTTCAAAAGATTAAACGCTTTAGAAAACATATTAATGAAATTGATTATTTTTCTAATAACTATCAAGCATTTTCTTTCAGGGAGACTCCGAATCACGTATCTTTAGCGATGATTGATTCCAATATTTCCTCAAGAAGAGATTTTCTATCATTTTTTTACGAAGTATCTTTATACCGGTTGTGATTGTTATTTGCTGATGATCAATATTTGATTAGATTGTTATAACAAGATTCTCTTGATTGTTTTTGTACATTGCAATAATAAAATGATCTTCAGATCTTCAAAAAAGCTTAAAACTGCAAAGAACTTGGAACATATTATAAAAAAAGTAACTTGAATAAGATTCAATAAGAATTTTAAAAATAAGAAGCTTATTTTTCAAAAATCCAATCAATGAAGAATGATTAGCTGATAAAAAAAGTTGAAAAAGACTTATTTCTAAAGCCCAGAACAATCAAGTTTATTGTCATTGACCTGGAAATGATCTTCAGAGCTTGTTAAAGCTTAAAACTGCAAAATTGAACTTGAGCAGAACTTGGAACGTATTATAAAAAGCAATCCCAATAAGATTCAATAAGAATTTGAAAAGAATTTGTTATTTATTGCAAACCTTTGAAAATAGAAACAAATAGCTGTTTTGGGTGAAGTCCGTAAAGATTCGATTAACCAAAATTCTATTTTTGTATTTAGTTTTTCTTGCTTTTGATGAGCGTCTTTTAAAATCTTCCCTCTTATCCCAAGGTACTCAACCGAAGCCGGCAATTGAATGCGTAAACGACAATCCACTCTCACAAGGGAACGATCCCAACTGGGGCTGACGTTTCAGGATAAGCTCAGAGGGAAAACAACAGTCGGAGATGGGCATTCCAAATATCTTTTCAGTTTTTGCCCAAATTTAAATCCTGGCGAGAAGAATGCATTTGAAGTTTCAACCATTAAAATCGCCACCTAGCTAATAAGAACGCGCCACACGCGAGCGAAGGAAGAGCAGCGGTGAGGTGGAGGATAGTGTGCCGGACTACAAAACCCATGGGTTCTTTTCGTGGCGGGTTCGAGTCCCACCATCAACAAACTTGACAAGCTTTTTTGAAAAACAGTCAAATACCATTTTTAAGGCTATTACAGTGCTTATCGACACTAAGAAAAGTCATTAATCACTAACAAAACAAAAGTGCTTTGTTGGAAATTTATTATTTCTTTTATTCATACTTTGTTTAGTATTATTTACCTTTATTCTTATCTTATCCCTTTAGACTCTGCCACACTACTTCAATATGATCTCGAAAGAGAAAGAGAAAGTTATCATATACAAGAGAAAGAACACGGAGAAGGTTATTACGGTTGTGTAGAGTCTCTTTCTCTTTCGAAATCATATTGAAGTAGTGTGGCAGGGTCTAAAGAGATAATAATTAAGATAAGAATAAAGGTAAATAATGCTAAACAAAGAATTCTGAAATGTCAGCTCCAGTTTGGATCATTGTTTTCCAGTGACTGACTCTGTCCTTGACACAATTTTTGGAGGCTTGAATCTGATGAAGAAAGAGAAGAATCAATTCAATTTGTTTTTGGCTATTCTCAAATTTCAAATGAAAAAAGCTGCAGATGATGGTATTGAAAAGATGGCTTTTGTAAAAATCGATAAAAAGATCACTGCAGTCTCAGGCTTAGTTGCAAAGACTGGATGACTGTGATGCTTATCACAGTCATCCAGCACAAGGAGCCAATCCTCCTCCTCATAACTGAAATTTGAATCTTTGAGAATAAATATTTATCAGAAAATCATCATAAATTTGAGAACCTTTTACTATAAATACTCAAAACTTAGCTGGAATTATATAAAAAATTGTCTTTTATCAGAGAAAATTTACTAGAAACAGCTTGATATAAATCTGAATCTAGAAACGGAAGATCTTTCTTCATCAGGATTATAAATTGGAATCTAAAACAATATTTCAGATTCCAATTTATAATTCTGATCAATCACTGGCTATTCTGAATCCCTCGAGGGTTTTTCAAATAATTGAACTTAAACAGAAAACTGGGAAAAATGACCAATTAGTTATTGTAAAAGAAAAAGATATATTTGATGTAGTGTGGCAACAGGAAGATATATCGTTAGAAACTATTCTTCGAAATCTTTGATTAGTCCAAAAATTGTTCAAAGTCAAATGTGAGTCTGCACTTCTTCAAGTTTTCAAGTTTTATAAGTATTTTTCTCTCAAAACAACTTATAATTCTTGAAAAAAAAGGGCAACCAAAAAATGCTCTCTAATTAACTGTTATTTTCGTTTCCAAATAACTTCTTCTGTCTAATTATTACTCTTTCAAATCGAAGAAATAATTGAACCTTTCTAGCAAGTTTAACCCAACCTTTTCCTTAGCGAAAACCCGACTTTTTAGCTTGACAACCGTTTTCAATTGGGATATTTCTCTCGAATTATTTTTATTTTGGAACATTTTGTAACTCTTCTCTTGCTTTTAAGTTCTTAGCTTACAATACAGTAATGTACTGATCTACATTGCAAATAATAGTACAATAATGTGTAATGTAGATCTGTCGATTTGCTGATCTTAGAAGATCAGAGCCCGAGCCATAATGTCGCGGGAAACAGCTGCCAGAAATCCAAATTTCCCACGCAAATACTGCGGGAAATCAACGGGAAACTTTTCCCGCGGGAAAATTTCTTACTCCATCATCTCTCCCGCGGGAAACTTTTCCCAAGGGAACCTTCCCGCAAGATGATGGCATGATAAAGGGACAGGAAGGGAAACTATTTCCCTAAAAACTAGAGGGAAATATATTTCCCGCAACATTATGGCCCGGGCTCAGTTTACCGCTTAAAGACCAAGTGTTTCGATAGCTTAATGGTTAGAGCAGTCGCTCGGTAAGTAGATGGTCGTTGTTTTGGACCCATCCGGTACTCCTTCTTTGCCGAAAATTCCTTTTCCTTTCTTCTTTTCATTTCCTTTTTTCTTATAAGTCAGGGAATACCCGTGTTCTGGCATTAGCATTAGTTCTGAAATTCAATAATTAATTTTAAAAGTCTCAAAAGCAGTTTTTACCAAACTTTCACCAATCTATAATCATGCCATAAACCAAAAAGACTTTTCGAAAGTTATCGTTAAAGATTTTCAAACTCTTATTCTACGTCTGTACAAGTATTGTCAAAGTTTCCAGAATGAAGCAAGGTTTTGGGATGTGTTGCTTGAAATATTTCAAGCGAAAAACGGAAATCATAGAATCAAAAAGAGGCATGACAATCAACATCCAATTGACCAAACGACCCTCAAAATGGGAGTTCTGTCTCGAAATATTCATCATGATCATCCTATTCATCGCCATCACTGGTAACTATTTCCCTAAGCAATTCTTGTGTAACTTGTTTAGCTACATTGATTGCCATTTATTTCTTCCTTCCAAGCATGACCGCCGTGAGCGTAATGTTGAAGGCGACAAATCGAAACGCGGATCTGAGACACTGTTTTACGTGCATTCATTTTGTGGTGAGTTGAGACAGCAAAAACATGGTCATAATGTGACATAAATGATTATAAATGACATTTTAATTAGCGTCCATCAAGCATTTCAAAACCACGGTGCTGCACCGGACCAGACCGGACCAGAGCAAGGTGCCAAAAAGCCAAAAAGTTTGCACCAAAAGCCAGGACCGCTGTTTGCCCCAGAAGCTAGGAGCCAGGAGCCTGAGCGATTTCGAAAAATTTTTGGGCCTCCGGCGCACGAACCGGTGCAGAGAAGCAAGTGGTACCGCACATGCTTGTCACTTATTGCTTGAATTTTTGTTTATTTATTGGGCTGGGGAGAATGAAAAGGCGCCAAAAATCAAAGAAACTTTTAGCAGATTTTGTCAAATAATTTCATATCCGTAGAAAGGTTGATTGATTCTCTACAAAATAGCATTTAAAAGAAAATTCAAACAGCGCTTCAGCTCAACAAAAAGAATGCGCCTCAAATCAATGAAAAGTCATTTTTTTCACAAAATCTATAAACTATCATCTAGAGAAAACGATTGAAGGGATCTTCCTGAAAATTTGGAAACCTATGTAATTGAGTGTGCTCTATCTTTTTTATATAGACACAAAAGGCGGTTTATGTGAAAGAAAACTATTCAAACGATGAATCAGACTCTTTGCCATTTTGATTAGTTGTGTTTGCGAGCCTATAAACTTTACGAAAGAAAAGCTTTGTGGAACTTTCTCAAAAGTCATTTTGTAGAGAAATAGTGGAGTCTTTTGATAAAACAAAGCGTGTATTTAAAGAAGGCTTTATGCATGCAAAAATTGTCCTTAAAGTTCAACGCCATTTCATTCACTTCAACCAATCGAATCCGGTTGTCCTACCTGTTGTCCTACCCGACCAAATCCATTTTCAGTGTGGCATTCTTTCTATTTTCGTTAATCTGATCAGTGTGTGCTATTGTTGGAAAAGCCGTTTTCTCTGGAAAACGATTCTCCTTCTATTGGCGGCCGATTCCCTTTGCCGATGTCTCTATTCTATCCTATTGGTCTCGGCATACTACACCCTACTCCCAGAATTGTTTGTTCTAAACATTATGTTCTTATTATATTATTTCAGTATCCCATTTTTGCAAGCCTCCAATTTGGCGAATGAGATCTACTCATGGGCTCTTTTCTTCTTTCAACCGTGCTCATACATCTCAGGATTCATACAAATAAGTGAGCCAATTCGAAGCAGGAAAGCAGCAAGATCTAACCAATCCAATCCAACGTAGGTTCTCTAAAACCTAAAGCCATTTATTCTATAAAGTAGACTACCGGTCCTAATCAACGGCTTCTTATTATATTTAGTATTGATATCAACCATCGCACATCATGCTACCTAATGCCAAGCCATTTAATAGAGAAAGTAGATGTGATAATGTCAGAATCCTGAGATACTTGGATCAACTTTTTATAATCACTTATTTGCTTGTGAAACCATGTTAATATGAACCTGATCTTTCGAGTATAGTCATAGAGTAACGTCTTACAATTCCAAACATTTAAATTCTTGGTGGAAATCTTACCCAAATGCTAAATCTTTTGACCCAGAAACTAATTCCAAATGATTTACCAAAACGAGAGGAGTAAGAAG